TATTTCGTGTGACGGGGATTCGAACCTGCGACCCTCAGATTGCGAGTCGAGCACCCTAACCACCTGGCCTCTTATTTGGTTTAACTATAATATTCATTTTGTTTTAATTAGACGTTAAATGTCATGAATTTTATTTCTATTTCGAAGTGTTGTTTTACAGCTTTAATAACTAACGTTTAAACTGACTTTTATGTACATTGGCTAGATTTCTAAAAAAAATAAATCTTATTTCACGCATCACTTATATTTCCAGTTAGATTGTAAGGTATAATATACAATGTTCAAATACAAATTATAGCCATTAGTTTAACCTATGACCCTTGGTTCAATCTCTGGCTTTTGGTTCAAATTATAGCCCTCGATTTAACATATGGCACTTACTTTAATCAGGGTTTCAAACTATGGTCTTGACAATTACAATTATCGACTGCTATTTTCGAGTGTAAATGCTTCTTTTATGTGAAATCCGTCAACAGTACTTCAATTTATTTTTTATTTATGCATCAATAGGAAATATTTTCTACCAGAAAGTCTATTCTTTTTGAAATACCGAAGAAAAGATTACTCCTTTCAGAAAAACCTTAAAATTGTATTATCAATTTTAGATAACACAAAAATGTCATAATTTTTTAAAGCCTAAAAAAACAAAAAACAATATTAGATATGGAAATTTTTTTGAGTAAGTATATTTCGCTTTTTTTATTAAATGAACTGATTTCTCAGAGTAAATATTGTTTTCTATCCGAAACCTAATTTTTAATCACATTTAGCCTCATTTAAAAACTTTCTGGACTTGTCACTAGAGTGCGCCACCATAGGCCGTCATTAAGTAGGTTGTTATGGTGACGTAAGAGTTGTTAGTTTCGTAACTGGTTTACTATTACTTTAGGAGGATATTTGTGTGATTAATATAGTTCTATTTATTTCTTTTTTACTGAAATAATTTATACGCATGACTGGACCAGCAAAGATCAACTTAGGTAACTAAGCTAGTCTCGATTCACCTGACTTGTTTCAAATAAATTATATATTTTAAGATATTAAAAGGGCATGTATAGAGTGGTTTAATACCGTGGTCGTAAAGGGTGGTTTTATACTGTACTAATTAGGCCTAATTCCACTATAATATCTATACAGTTATTTGTGACGCCTCACAAGTACAAGTACCAACGAAAAATACGATAAAGTCACCATTTTCAACTGAAGTAAATCACTTGAATAAATAATTTAGGGCTCGCTATATAAAGAAGCTTTATTTGGTAGTAATAAATGACCCATTTACTCCCTCTAAAGCATTATTCAAGTAGTTAGAAACACGAGAGTACCTGGGACTTACGGTACCCATAGATAATTCATGACCGTTTTTTACATGAATTTGACACTAGGGGTGAAAAGTAATTTCATTATAGAAATTACAGTAAATCAAAGCTCCCTAGGACTAACTGTATTTGTTTTTACTATACACGCTGATATACACGAATTTAACACTAGGGGTGAAAAGTAATTTCCTTTTAAAAATAACTAACTATATCAAGTCAAAGCTCGCTAGGCCTAACTGTACTTTTTTTTTTTTTTACCTAGACTCGCTGCTATACATGAATTTGACACTAGGGGTAAAAAGTAATTTTATTATAAAAATAACAGTAACTACAACAAGTCAAAGCTCGCTAGGCCTAACTCACTCCTAGTCTAAGATAATGTTATTAAGACTAAAACTACAGTGTGTTCTTCCACCAGAGTTCGTTTCTAAGCAGCTGATATAGGAGTTCAAAATTTACCATCATGTGCTCGCTACTGTCAGAAATAGTATCCAGCCAAAACACTCGTGTTGTGAAGTTCCCACACTTTATTCATTCAAAATATATCCACTGTGAATGAATGGGTCTCAAAGTTGCTCGGGAAAAAAAAAATGTGGCTGTGTTCTGGTTCCAATTACTTCTTGAAAGGAATGCAACTGATGAATCAGTTGAAAAGAAAAATAACGAAAATTCGATTTTTTTTCTTTGGTATTTAATATTAATGTTTCGTACCGTACCCTTAAGATATGTAACACCGGGTTTTTATGAAACAAATTACCCTCGCCCTGCGAGGGTA